AGCAGCGAGCTCCTTTCAGCTTCAGCTACATGATGAAGAACATACGAGTCACATCAGGTGAATTATGTTCACCTACAGGCCTGGCATGTTTAATAGTTCAAAATGTGCTTGCTTGCTTTTTCTAATAGATGCAGACACTAAAATGTGGAACTCCTAAAAGTAAATGATAGCTCCTATGAACAAAAGTAGATCTACTTTTTGCTGTCACTTGCGTTCCTCCATTTTTGCTGCCTTGAAACGTTACACAAACGTCACAACTTGACAACTCGGCTATCATTAAAATTTCCCACTGTATAGATATAAGAGACATATAGCCTTTAAAACAATACTTGCATGGCATCAGAATAAGCATTAGTACAGATGTGTGAGCTCTGAGGGTTAACACCTGGAACTGTTTTGAGACGACAAGTTTCACACAAGTTCTCAAGGCTTTGCTTTGACACACTACAGACGCACACATCTGGTACTTTGGCTGTTGGAAAGGTGGCTAATTTTCCTCTTCATGAGATTTCATGATCATTTAAAATAAGTGAATTTGAAAATGTTACTCATAAGAAGTGAGAGTGAATCTGCTGTGACTTTGGAGCTGCTTTCTTCAGGGCTTGGACTGAGGCCAGTTCAACTGTGTATTTGGTGACTTTATACTCACACACACACACACACACACACACACACACACACACACACACACACACACAAAGCAGAGTAACGAGGCGATGGGGGAAATCCTCTTTGAACCGGAAAACTTGGAAGGCTCCAGCCTCTCTCTCCACAAGATAATGGAGCGGTGCGGCTCGTTAAAAACCTGAGTGAAGGCGTCAAGCCAGAATCAATCAGTCTCCTGTGAGCTCTCCACCTGATTCTGTTAAAGCCTTTTCATAAAGAATAGACTTATTAATGCAGCATAGGCTGAGAGAGAGAGAGGGGTGGGGACAGAGAGAGACAGAGAGAGAGAGAAAGAGAGAGAGAGAGAAAGGAGGGGGGACAGAGAGAGAGAGAGAGAGAGAGAGAGAGAGAGCGAGAGAGAAGGAGGGGGGACAGAGATAGAGAGAGAGGGAGTGAGAGAGGAGAGACAGAGAGAGACAGAGAGAGAGGAGGAGGAGCACATCAATAACTAAGTGAATATTAAGGAATAAGGTGGTCTGATGGAGCCTCAGTGGTGCTGCTGAAGCTGTCAGCACAGTCACTCTGTGATGGTTTGAAGTCACTGTTGCATATCAGGGCTGCACCCTAGTGCTGAAAAGGTGAACTGATGTGTGGATAATCTTTTAAATGAAGCTGTGCAGGGCCAGTGCACGACGAGCGAGGTGTGTTTATTAATCTGTCTAATCGGTCCCTTCATGATGACGCCGCCTGTTTCCTCCTCACTCTTTACTGTCCAGAGGTGTTGAGAACGTGACAGAGATCTGGTGTGCACAAAGTGTTTGCATGCTGATTGGACCGAATAAACTGGGTTACATTTGTATGGAAAGTAGCTGAGATAAAGGAGAACATTATTTGTGCTTGTAGCAGTGAGACACTGACAGAGCGCTGCGTGGGAAGATAAAAGCACATTTCCTTTCAGAGTAGTAATTGCTGTGTAAGCGTTCCTTCCTGATCCTTCCATGTGGATTCGAATGGATTTATTGATCCGGTGCAGTTTTTTAAGAGCACAAAGGCAGAGTTTTTATTTCGGGTTCGGTGTTCTTCAGAGGCTACACCCACCAAGTCAGTGGTCAATCTGATTTTTTAAGGCAAACATTTGTTTGAAGCCAAGGTAATTATTGTGCCTGCAGTGTTGCACGCTGCAGCTTCATGTGCTCGCCATGCAGAGAAGGATCTTTGTTGTTGAATCTTTCAAAGAAATGTTAGTTAGAGGACATAATTACAGTGCTGTAAGCTTCAGTCAGCAGTCGTCAAACAGGCTGTGATGTGTAATCTTTTCTAGGAAACACTACCCACCAAAGTACATCGCTCAGTACGTTAACATGCACAGTGAGGTCGAGCTTCTATTCTTTAATCAGTTTACAGGCACCGGGTAAACCCATTTATTGATGGATTGCCCCCTTTAACCTCCTTCTGGATGACCTCATAAACAGCAAGCTGGTTGTACGTCCAACTGTGAAAACATGGACGACGTCGCTGAGCTCTATACATTTCCTTCATGCTCTACGCTTTACTCTTGGTGAAAATGCAACAAGCTGATGGTGATATCCAAAGGCAGTCCATGCAGTTGGACCTCCAGGTCACATCTTGGCACGGTGGATGATGGAGCACCTGCTGAACGCCTGGTCCAATGTGGGTCCAATTTGAGTCGTAAATACACAAGAAAAAATCCCTGTCTCATTCGCTTTATCTGTGTGTTAGTCCGACTTTGAGAAATTCAACTTAGTAGGATTTCAGTGGGACTCACATATTTAAAGGAGGAACAGGATAAGCTTTAATTTTGAGATTTAAATGCTTTGTGATGAAGAGGGAAGATGAAAGAGAAAAATGTGCTGTAATGAAGGCTTAAACCTTTCTGCCTGGTTGAACCAAAAAAAAAGGATTAGGTCAGAAAAGATCAAGATTGAACATTTCAAACCGGATTTTTGAACATTTGAACCTGGACTGAATCCACAGAGAGAGAGAGAGAGAGAGAGATGTATCAATGGATTTAATGATGGACAAACAATTTAGAAACCCATGTTTAAATCATCGAGCAGGAATATGTTGTGATGCAACAACGGACGTTTGGGCAAATGAAACCACTTCCTGTTGTGTTTTCAGGAACATTCTTCCTTATCATGTAAAATCTATTTTCACAAGAGGCACGATAGTTTTGTTCTGGGCCTGAGCATTATACCCCCCCCCCAACTTCTGGCTACATGGAAATGGTCGTAAGTTCACAAACGATTTCATTGATGGGGAAATGTACATCTGTTCATTTTAAAGTGGAGCTGCAGGTGAAGAGACGAGGCGTTCAGTGTATCATCATCATCACAAGCATATTGATGAAGGGATATTTTACTCCTCTCAGTATAAACCACTCACCTTAATAAAAGCCTCCTTCCAGCCTCTTATCTGGAATGTTTCTGGAGCCTGACAGTATCTTCATTCTGCTCTCACTCTGTATATCCGCCGTCCCTGCAGCCCTCTCATGGATCTGTCTTTGTTGTGTTAATGTGATATGATAGGCCGACTCTTTTTGCTTTTGTTCAACATCTCTCTGCTTGTGCTGCTAATGACTGAGCGCTGGTGGAGGGGCTGAGTGCAGTCGTCCTCTTCCTGCTCAACAGAAATAAATCTTTGTTTATGAGAGACGACCACAGCTTGTAAATTAAAGACACAGGATCCAGCTCGCTTATATCAATGTGTAAAAAACAACGTGTTGCCTTCTCTATTTTTTTTAGTTCTTCAGGGTCTTTAAACTTGATGGTGAACACTTAACTGAACATACAATCCTGAAGTACTGCCAACTAAAAACCTCTCTTTTTTGGGGGGTGGGGCATCAGCATGCTTTAAAATAGGAAGCATATAATAAGGTTGAATTTACTGCCCATAAACTGTACATATTCACCTACGAATATGTACTCACAAGGAGCATAAACAACCACAGTAGGTAACAGAGCTTAAATCCATTTGATCAGCACATGTGGGACAGGAAGTGTTTGCACTGACTTTGGCGATGTATTCGTCTCATGCGCAGCACACAGGAGTGGTTTACTGTCCTCCTCTAGGGGGCAGGACTGACATCTCCTGCTTTTGTCCCAGCTGGGACAGCTGCAGCCGCGGGTGTAGTGGGATCAGATTTAGCCCCCTGCAGAGGCTGCTGTGACGAGGAGGCGCTCCCTTCTTGATCCGATAGTTACCGATGCATCAAGAAATGTTTGTTGGTTTGTAAGTGTTTGAACTTGTTGCTGCAACCGTCGAGACAGTTTTAGTTTTGACTGTCTCTAAGGATGACGAAAAATGACTAACCTTTGAACAGAGGTGATGTAAAGCTTCCATCTAAATAAAAGGAAATGTTTGACTTGTTGTTGGGTTCATTTTAGGAAAACCCTCAAATTTCAAGTTTTAAAAAAAGATCACTCAGGTTGCTCTTGCTGCTGATAAAGATGTCGACAGGGATCTTTTACTGGCAGACAACACAAAGGGTTAACTTGCTGATTAAATTCAGAACTGATTCTGGTGTTGGTTTGAAGCAGACACTCCTGTTAGTGTTCGGCTTCCTCTCGCCGTTCCTCCTCTATTCTGTTAATCTGGCGTCCCGTCCATTAACATGGAGGAGGTGGCCATACTGCGGCCTGTCAGCAGGGGGCGCTCCAAATGTGTTTGGGCCCCCTTTTGGTGCGCCATCATGCCATCATGCCATCCATCTTTATATACACAATCCATGCTTAGACCCCACAACAGTCTGAAGCTCCTGCACTAGTTCTACATGTACAAACACATTGTTTATTTATTGATGGTTTATTTGATAGGGACAAATGTTTGTCTACAGTGTAGACAAAACAGAAATCCAAGTATCAAAGTATCATAGTGTTTACAGCCGGTGCTAATTTGCAACACTTGTCCCTTTAGCTTCTGTGCTAATGTGCTAACTAGCTGAGCAACAGCTAGGAAACTGAAGCTGTGTTTAGTTGCTGATTTTAATCTAGAATTGGTTTTCCATTGCACTAGAGACTAATATAACTCCAGTGCTTCTTTAAATTCTCCTCAGATGAAAAGAGAACTGAAGTGTTTTCATGCTTGTGCTCCAGTTTGATTATCTGCTCTCTTCGCAAGATGCATCACATGGTTCTAAAAAAACCTTCTATCACTTAAAATGAAAATAAAGAAGTTTGTTTCTGCAGGGTTCTTTCTGTTTATCACAACTCTTATCTGCAGACGTTCACAAATCAATCAATTACATCTCCTTTATCTCCTACATCAAACAGTTTAGATGCCGAGAGTTTCCCCCTCAGAGCTCCGTCTGATGAAATCTGGACCTGACATGTTTGAGTCCAGCCATGTTCTCATCCGTGTTTCTCTCTCCTCAGATTCTTTCACCCGTCAATCAAACCCTGAAGGACTATGACCCCAGACTTAAGGTGAATCTGGGCTGGGAGATAACACGTCTGTGAGCTCAGCGTCAGAAACATGAGGACTACTCTACAGGCTGTTTTGTGGCTCTGCCTGGGCCTGTGCGTTGAGGCTCTGTCCCTGAGTGGATGGAGGGTAGAGTCAGGACGAGGAGAGGGGAGCGAGGCAGAGAGAGGAGAGAAGCTGCTCCGCAGAGTCAGACGAGGCTGGATGTGGAACCAGTTTTTCCTGCAGGAGGAGTACACAGGCAGCGACTACCAGTACATCGGCAAGGTGAGAGATGTGGCACAGTCAACACAAAGTTCACAAACACTACACTGCAGTAGACACAGTTGATGATTATTAAGCTGGGTACACACTGAGAGAGTTTAGGTCCTCTTCTGAGAATCCTAAACAGAGTCCTGGTTTTTAAAATGCTTCTAAAGATTATCTCGTCAGATTTTCCTGGTGGTGTAAAATGTGTTAAGAGTGATCAGATCTCATTGGAAGGACTTCAAATCGCAAAGATGAGATGAGATGAGATGAGATAAGACAGGATACAATATCATGAGATAGGATACTATCAGATACGATGCGATGCTTGTGCCGGGTTGCTCCAGCATTTCAGTACAAAAAAAGAGTATAACAAAAGAGCATCAAATATTTGAGAAGTACAGGAAACATAATGCATTAAGTAATCAACATACTTTAAAAAATAAAATCTTAATGTAGGGTAGGCTATATTTTTTTTATATAAGAAAAACATATAATTATGAAAAATATATATATAATTATATGAAAAAAATTATATTTTCTGATTTTCTGATTCTGTTTTCTGTATATATATAAAATATGTTGTTTCACTCTAAATTAATGTATTTTTTGCAGTAGAGATCTTGAATCTGCTGTAATCTGTGTGGCGATGTTCACAGACTACAGCAGGCTGTGAGATAATGTTGCTATCGCTAAGTTAGCTGCAGACACGGTGAGAGTGAACGGAGAAAAGTCGAACCGACCGTTTGACCGGATCACGTGTGTTCCCGCCTCGGTCCGTAAAGATCACGGATCAACTGTGTGCTGTTGCACTAAAAGTAAAAAGCTGGCGCTCCAGTGTGTGTGTGCGCTCTTGTGTGCATCAATGTAGGCTATATGTGTGTGTCAGCGTGCCCCGCGAGAGCGAAGCAGGGAAAGTAGCTGCAGCTACATCAAACGCCTGCACTTTCTCGTGCTCTCTCTCTCTCGCTCTCTCTCTCTCTCTCTCTCGCCCAAGTATCGTATATGTGTGGGAAATTATTTTCACACTTTATTCAAAAAGAAAAGAAAACTACCATAATACGTGAGGGGGTCTTAACCGGGGCTAGACAGATTTGTGATGGGAGCTACAGCGCCCCCTAGCCCCGGTGTAGCGCCGTACTTCAAGACAAAACAAGACAAAATGGTAACAATACACAAACAGACAACAACATGCAACTCACTAAGACAGAGCAGAGTAGTGGATGAAAAACACAGTTTTTAGAGTCAGGACTGTGGATGTTGGTGATTGGACTCTGTTAGTGAGTTTTCACCTTGACTGTGCTTCAAGTTGATTATTTTAATGTCCAGAAGTTGTCTAAAATACTTCTATCACCTACCTTGAGCCTGAATCATGAGCATGACACGCGGGGGAGGTGGCTGATGGGAAACTGAATCAATAATGTAAATGAAGATTCAGTAACAGAGCTGGTGAAGCTGTACGTTAGAGCAGGTGCAGGTGTGTAATGTTATCTTCACTGAGGTGATGTAGGGACTCTCCATGGTACCAGCTGCTGTGTGTAACATCAGGAGTTTCTTACTCGGCCTATTAGTGAAGTTCTCAGTCAGAGCGGCGTGTTGTTTGATCAGCAGCCAGACGCCGGGAGGTGTTGTGCTGCTCTGTTTGGAGCCTGCTGTCTGACAGCAGCACAACACAAAGTCAGCTCTGTAACAAACAGCTCTTCTTCATGACGGAGGTAAACACAGACAAACACTCTCCCTCCCTGCTGCGCGTCGCGCTCACTGCAGGGGGGCTGCTGGCTGCTTCTGATAGGCTGCAGGGACGCCGGGGTGGTTCATTGAAAGATTACTGGAGCGACAGTATGATTAGGAAAACATGAACACATGTTTTAGCCCTCATAGCATGGAGGTTTCATACTTTTAGAATTAAAGGATGAAGTGTGTTTATTCAGCGGTTCACCTGCTTCACTTCCTCTCACATGTAAGAACAGGAAACAAACACAGAAACAACTGCAGGCTGATTTCTTCATGTTTCAGTCCGGCTCCATGTCTGGGGGAAAAACATCTGGAAGAGAAAAACAATCCAAAAGAAAGGTTTGTTTCATAGCCTTACAATGTGACAGCGTTAATAAAACATTGTTATTGATGATGGTGAGAAAACGGTGTCATAAAAAAAAAAGATTTTAAAAGCCCAACATGTTTTTTTCATCAGATTTGAGACAAACGCACAAAAACATATCGATCCAAAACAATCTCTTCAGAGCAGCAACACAACAACACATTTGTAAACACAGAACACTTACTGTTGTTTTTGTTTATTGGGATTTTTATTTTAAACGCTTTATTTCTCTGCAGCCTCGAGTTACCTGAGCATGGCTTTGCACTCTGCTTTAGATATATTTAAAAAACTGAATTAAAGGATTAAAGTATCAATCAGTAAGATGTGCAGTGAGTGAAATGATAAAGTGATCTTACTATATGATCATAAAGGAAACATGCTATGTTGAAGTGCTGGCTTCTCTGACAACAATGCAGCAGCCAGTATGTCCTCCTTCTAACTTTAGATTCTGCTCCTGAATGCTCTGGATTTGTTTGGACCAGAGAAGGTAGACGCTTTTAAGACACCCCCCCACACGGCCGTTTTGGACGCCCCTCTGTTTGCCAGATATGAGAGCAGTTATCAGGTCAACAGGTGTTGCAGCGATAGAAGCGGTCAAGAGAAGTGGTTCAGATAGAAGTGATTGTACCCGACCACATGGCAACCTGCATGAGCATGAGAACCTTTTAACTCATTTTAGATGCTCTTGGGATGATGTCACATAGCTGCTTTCACACTTTCAGGATGAGCTGCATGTGTGAACACAAACGTCGTCATTTTTTGATGTCGATGTGAGAATGCAGCTAATATTCAGGAAAAGACTTCCTCGTCGTTCTTCTTGCATCGATTCAGGAAGTTTCTCCATGTGTGAACAAGCAGGTCAGCTGAATTTGTGACCCTGGTTACATTTATAAAAGACCATTTCTTTGGCAGAGTATACTTTCAATACAGCAAGTTATTTATCACTTTATTCTTGATTTCAGAAAATAAAAGTCCTGTGAACGTCACGCTCGATCTGAGACTCAACACCAACATGAGATGCTGAGGGGGGGGGGGGGGTCTGTAAAAGTTAGAGAGATTCATGTGATTCTGGCTCCACTGCTGGCATGAATGTTCTGGTGAAGCACAGTGGGATGCAGCCGGTCTGGTAGAGGTCTGGCAGCAGAATCAGATATGTGGGACGCATACGGACTCCAGAAAATGTCTCTCTCTCATGCCGCGGTAAAAACGTCCGCAGGCTTCGTCAGCTCGTGTTAGGAGGAAAGCACGGAGGTGTAGCAGCCCTGCAGACTGACAGATCAAATCAGACTGAACACTGCTGGAGAGAAAAGGCAGAGAGGATCAAAAAGAGGGAGCGAGTGAGGGGAGGGAGGGAGGAGAGGAGGAGGAGGAGGAGGAAAGGTTTGCACTGTGAAGAATGTGAACAGATAAAGGTGTTGTAAAGGAAAAGTTGAGACGGAGGAAGAGGACAGGAAGAAGAAAAGAACAGCAAGAGGGAGACAAGAGAAGAAGAAGAAGTCAGCTGGATGGAGCCAGAGACATGCACAAAGCACACCGACGAGTGAGGAGGACAGAAAAGTAAAAAAGTGAAGACATGAGCTGAGTTTTCTTCTACAGACAAAACAAAACAAAAACAGCTGACACACATTCACTGTCGCCTGGAGCAGATGATATGACACAGAAAAGACAAAGTTATAGAGACATCAATTATTGTTTCAGTGTTTCGATAAGAGATGCCCGACTGAAGCATCACTTATTAACAGTTGAGTGTTTTTGTGGTTGATTTATGGTTCTCATTAGACTCTGCTGACCTTTTGAGGTCTCTTTAATTATCCTAGATGTTAAACATTCCCCACTCCAGGTGGACTGTCGGCTGAGTCTGAACCAGCAGGTCCACTCTCCTCGGGTGACGTGGAGATAGATCTGTTGACTTGAATGATTAGTGGAATTCTTCATCTGCATTAGTACCTTCAACCTGAAGTCAAACCTTTTTTTGATTTATAGAAAGATATGTGCTGCTGATCACAGATGTTCTTTGTGTTTGTTTTAACTCTGACATGCCTCATACATTAAAGAGGGGACTGTTTAAAGGAGCTTCTTCCCATTAGCATAATTCTAAAAGTCTTCGGGGGAGATACAGGACACAGTTTGAGAAAGGACACATTAAGGTTATTGTGCACTCTGGGATAAGGTTTTTGGACTATCCCAGTTCTGTCTTACCCACGTTAATATATTCCTGCATGGAGCGGTCTGGATGAGGACTCCAGTAAAAACTGGGGTATGGATCATCTGCTGGCCCCATTTTCTGTAAATTCCCCCATGAGCAGTAACAAGTCATGACAAAAATAGCCCCAAAATGGTTTTATAGTCACAAGTCTCGAACATTAAACTGTTGTTAGCCACAGTTTAGACTTTAGACTTAATTATTTTTCACAGCATCATACCATCATAACAGACAACTCCCACCAAAGAACATACACAAAACACAGAGTCGCAGGCGCTGCTTATGTTCTGGGTTCACCAAAGAGCAAGTGATTTATATCATGCTTCATTCATGAATCAATTAAGACAACTACAGCCCCTTTCCCACATATCATGCTCTATACCTGCTCAGAACAGGCTGTTTCTGTGTCTGTACCTTTAAATATGTAAATGAGCTGTGTCTGACCACACCCCCTCTCTGGAAGGACTTGGGTGTATTCGGTCTTTCTCGCTCCATGTCCTGTTGTTTACGGTGAGAAGGCAGACTCAGAAGACAGAACAAACACCTAGCTGTGGGAGTGTCACCCACCTGGGGGAGAGGCTACTGCCCTTTGTGATGTCATGAAGGGAACATCTCCAAACGGCCTGTTTGAGCACACATTTTCTGAAAAGTGGAGCAGGTAAAAGACGGAGAGAATTTCTTATAAGGGGAGGGTTTGTAGACAGACTAGAGACATATTTT